GCTAACGGCTACATGTCTCTTGCTAACGGTTGCACTCTCCATTCTAACGCCCCTAACGTTTTTAAGAAAACTTTCTAACGTATGACTAACGGATGCTTAACGCTTTTACCTGTCTAACGGATAAGCGTTAAGGTACGTTTTCCCGTTCACGGTCACAAATGTTGAGTTTTGCACTAACAATCTAGGACTACATTGCGTTAGTTTTGCAGTCTTTGTCGATTTTAAGAAAGTCTACATCACATTTGATTTTTAAATATTTGACCAGGCTAAACAGAGCCGAATATTTACGAGAAAAAAATTACTGCAAACACAAGAACTCTCTTAATTACGTTCACTTAGCATGGAATAAACTGGCGAAGACTTGAAAAACTGTTCACTAATACCTGTTTGAAGTTTGAGGTTACATAGCCAGGCTGCATTCTGTGCAAGCTATGCAAAAGATCTTCCACATGGATCTTTGCCTTTTTCAATACAATACTCTAACATCTTGGCATAAGCTTGGCAGATCTTTGGCGTGACCTTTGTGTGGAATGAACCTTGGTTTTATACCAGTAGCATCGACATTGCTGACGCTATGAGCTCTAGGTGCATGTTACGCTCAATATTCTAGCACAAGAATGGTTATTATCCATATATATCAACTTTTCCTATAATAGGAAAAGCCTAATTATTAGGCATAGAAAAGTCGAAATGAAAGCCAAATTAAAGCGAATACATTTACCCCGATATTCTCCCGCGTTCAGCTGCCATTTTTAATGTTTTGAAAATGCTCATCGCCATGGTGATCATGTTATGGTTCGTGATGTAATCCATTGTTCTCGCTTCTTCCAAAACTGGCATACTAACAGACTGATCATATCTTTGAAATTTTGTAAAAAGTTGTTGTCACAGTAATATTAAAAGAAATACCCAGAAATAATGCTTCATTTAAACTGGTTACCTTCTACATGTGAATTATCGGAGCGGCAGAATTAACGTTGGAAATGTTTTGAATTCTCACACATCACCCTCAAAAAGAGTGGTGGCGATTTTCCAGATGTGGTTTGGCTTTTTTTCTACACCCTCCTAAAGTTTGATATTTTCAATGCAGATGTTTCCTACTACTAAAGAGGCCATTCCTTTGAAACAGAAGCAAAGTTAAACAGAGCCTGACACCCTTTTTCGAAGGAGGTACATACCTGCCGATTTTGAACCAATTCCGTCGGAAGACGCACATAAATGAACTAAAAATGTTCATCCTTATATGTAGTTTTATTTTATCCAGAAAAAGACGAAAAACCTTTTGTGAGATTGGTATGATTAGGTGTTAAAAATCCCCACCGCACTGACAGATGTTCGCATGGGTCAGTTTACCCCAACAATGGCTTATGACAACTTGAAATAAACAGATGTCTACAATTCTGGGGCGGAAACCCGTCACAGTGAAATCGTCAGAGAAGTTGTATTTAAACTGCAGTGCTTTCTTTTGCTTAGATTTTATTGGCAGCATTGGTATTATGTTGCTCAAGTTTAGGCTTCTTCATTCTCCAGACATTTTTTGAAACCATGCCTCATGAAGCCAAAAAGAAGAAATCTACATCGTCTACATCTACATCTGCGCTTGACACTCTCATTATGGAAGTTTTGGAATCACGTCTGTTCTCCAGCAATGAGCACTTGTTGTGTTTTGTCCTACAGCTTCATTGGCAGGACTAGTGTAATCGAGTTCCTTAAATCATTCTTCTTAGTTACAGTGTGACCCACAGTTGCTCAGAGCCAAAGATCTTGTTCGATGCTGAACCTGTGGGTTCCACCAGATTTTTGCCTCTTCAGCTTCTTTGAAGACAAAAACGGGCAAGAACTTTTCTTGCATTTTCGTCCTGACATAAAGAAAATTTGACAAGAACAAAAGCTAACCTACCATGAAACAACCAGATCGAGAACAGTTCGCATGCACAAATAAATTATCACACTGCAATTCGCATTACATGTGACAACTGGTGGTGAATTTTAATTAGAGGTGTTAACGTGCTGTGAGGGGTTAATGAGATTCAAAAATAGTTTTCCTCTTTATCTTTAAAAGTACAAAAGCTTTTTTCCCTGTTCTTTTTGCAAAATATTTATCTCAGTCTTCTCAATTTGAATAGCAAAGAAAAGTTTTTTGCATTTTTCGTAAAAATCCACCTACCATGATACCTTAACTTGCAAGTTGCCTGAACCACCCTTCACAGGAATCTTACATTAGGAATGCAAAGAATGGTTACACAGGAATGTCTTACACAGGAATGTTTTGTCCAACTCACTCCATACCCTTGTGTCCATGTGACTTTGGTCATGTGGACACAAGGCAAAAATGGCTAATTCATGGTGTCTTATTTCATTTGCATAAAAAGTGATCTCACCATGGTTGAAACAATTGGTGACAAAGTGTTTTTTCAATTCAGCATGCTCCAAACTATAGATTTCAGCAAAGAAACTAATATGACCATGAAATTTCCGTAGGAGAGACATATACTTATTACTCAATAGTCGCTTCAAGTGGCTATAGGGGTTTGGGAAGTTCTTTTCAAATTTGTCCCAATTGTCCTTTGGAATTCAGGACCTGGAATGCCTTCCCACAGCCACCAATTCTCTCTTCAAAGATAAATGTTTCTCCTGTCATTACGGTACACCCACACTCATGGTACCCTTTCACTACTCCCTCTGTCAATTTGACATCCACTATATCAGTATAGAGCTGGCCTGACACGCACTCTGTGTACAAAAACTAAGTGAAAATTGAAAGTAAGTACTTAATCCTCTTTCAAGACTTGCCAAGTTAAGATCGATGACAATCGATGATAATTAATATTATAGCAATTATGAGGATTTGAATTGTGAGTATCGATTTTCATCGATTAATTAAGGCAATCCATAATAATCGATTAATTATTATCGATTATATTGATTATATCGATTGCCTTCCAATTTTGTTTTTTAAATTGGGACGCCGGGAAATGTCCAGCAAGTTGGGAAACTCCGCTCTAATTTCCATTACATTTACTCACCATCATGATCCAAAGGAAAACTTCCCTTGTCTGGTGGTTTTGCTCGAAATACTTTTCTACTACCAGGGTTCATAACTGCGTTTAACCAAGAGCAAAAGCGTCAAATGAAACCAGGATGGTTCAGTCTGTTATGGAAAGGACATGATCGAAATGGATTTTGGGAATCGATGTTGAATAAGCCAATCATAAACGTTGGCATAAGGAACATTTATTTTCTTTTGTGGCTTTTCATTGGATATCCAGAAAAAAATGTCACATGGCTTGCATAAATTCAAAATGGCCGACGAAGTTGGTGTTGTACAGCTTTCGCGTGAGTTGGAAACTATGTGAGATTTCATGAGTAAACTCTTATGGTGAGAATGAATATAAGCGAAACAAATTCGTATGGTAATGGTCTGCTGTATGCAGGCTTTAATCAAGACCAAGGTATGTAGTTGAGTGGATCAAGCTGACCATTTCAAGAGTATAAACAACTCACAATAGGCTAATTATACACATCCTTTCTCAAAGGCTGTTTTTCTTGCGGCATGGAAAATGGTTTTAGGATATACAACTGTGATCCTTTGAAAGAAAAAGAACGCCAAGGTACCTTTAGTTAATTTGTATGGCATTGTTGTATATATCTCATTTTGTTCATTATGGGTTAATCAATTGAAATCCCCAACTCTACCCCCCTACCCCCACTGTCGGAAGAGGGTGTTAATAAAGCCTACACTAGTCGGGCACTAAGGTTGATTTCCACCACTCTCTTGAGTCTAGTCTACGTTTCTTCTTGAGAAGAGACGGCTGAATGCATGAGCAGCAAAGCATGTCTGTGATGTAAATTCAAAATTTTATTTGTGCGGCACGTCTGGTCCTCTGATGACAATCAAAGAAAGCTTTGGTGCTTTGGTCAATTAACTTTCCTTTCTCTTGATTTAAAACTGAGTTATCAGTAGCATAGCTTGGTCCATTCAATGTGGATGGTATGGACATAATCAAATGAGCTATCGATATGCATCAATGTAATAGTTCCACTTTTTTGAAGGTGATGTACAAAACACTGACCCCCAGTCCATGGACTACCCAAATGGACTACCCTAAACTGGACTAAGCCTAAGAGTAATATTCCAAATGAGTACAATTTAATGTTCTTAGCTGCTAGTACTTAAATTACACATAACTTCCGCTTACGTTCATCCTGTACAGCCTCTAGCCACCATTTTGAATAACTGTACTTAAAATAAGCAACTGCTGAACACAGAATGGTGCGAAAAACGTAAACTCAAACCAAATTTCATCATTTGATTATCAATGGCTGTTATCAATCAGAGGTACCAATCAGTATCAGGATCATACAAGTGTAAACATAATAACTTGAAAAGCGATTGAAATGTGAGTGAGGAACCCAGTCTTATTTGATTTAGGAACAGCACAATGTAAATGTCACACAGTGATTTTCAATTTTATTCCGTGCGATTCAGTTAGCCATTATTACACATGTGCAAGCTAAAAGATGACATAATAGGAGATGACAAGATTAATGGCTGAAGAGTAAACCTTCCAGAAACAATGCCAAATTAACAAGGTAGTCCGCAGAACATTCAGTTCTTTTCCATCTATTAATAGCCCTTAATTGTTCCAAAATAATTTGCGAGCAAACAGCCTGAATCTGAATGTTTACAATGTATTTGAGAAAAACTCTGGTTGCCATATTATGCTGGTGTTATTATATTTTTTCAGCGTTTTTAATAGTCCATTTTAGAGTAGTCTATTAGGGTAGTCCATTGGGGTGGTCCATGGACTGGGGGTCAGTGTTTTGTCCATCGCCTTTTTTGAAGTAGCTACCTCCACTTTGTTTCACAGGTACAATTATAGTGCATGCTTTACTCATGTTCAAATGCCTTTCTTTCCTGTAAAGTTGGACTTCTTCATGTCCAGGTCCCTCATCTGAAGCCCAATCAGCTCACTATAATCTTTTAATTATATCCAGTCCTAAAACCAGTGGCCTTATAGTGGTGTTAGCAGATCCTTTTATCAAAAATTAATGCCCTCAATCCTCATGTGAAATTGCACAATTCATTTGATCACAGCGCAACTGAGGACCATAGTTAATGGAGGGAAATGGTTATGAAACCCAACAAAGTTCTTTGTTGTATGTTTTTGTTTGCTTTTTTGGCCTTGACCATGCACAAAACACAATAGTTGTTTTCTCTGTACTGAGGAACTGATCAATAGAAACATGTTAGTTAAGTAATTCATGCGTAGTGTATGAGCGCAAAACAAAAGATTGTGCACGTACGGTTGAGGTCCTTCCAACATAAATCTTGGTATCCTTGTTTGCTCCTTTGATGTTTACTGGGCTTCATAACCAGTCTCCTCTATTAACTATGTGAGGACTTTTAAGCTGTCTTGATACAGCTTTCCCTTAATTGGATCAATATGAAGACTATGCCAGGATTAGAATCGGAGTGAAGTTTTGTATGATGTACATGTATTTCTGAAGGTGGCTCCATAGGGTAATCATTTATGGGGTTGCATATCCTCTCAAACTTATTACATGTAATAAGCAATGATTAAATAGTGTTTTACTGTCATCTCTGTTAAAAATTTTGGGCTTTAGTCTTGAATTATAAATGCCCAAACAAATGTGCTTTTTTTATTTTCTTTATGGCTTTATGTGTGATTTTCTTGAATTTCCTTAGATGAAATCTTCCAAAATTTTCACCGTGCACATTGCATCTTGTGGGATACAAATTTTACAAGTAAATAGGGTTTGTAACGGCAGTTTTTTTTTATTTTAACAAATTTATGTCTTTTACCACTGTGAAAAAACTGGTCTTGTAGATTTCCCTGAAACTATCTCTGGCTCAAGTAAAATATTTACTACCAGTCTGCCAAATTTTACGGAATTTCACAGAAGGAAAGTTCTCTGTCAGTTTTGCTATTTGTGCTCATGTTGATGTCTTATCGAAAAACACTGATTCTACGTTTTCCTTCGAGCATGCGCAGATTACTAGAGGATGCAATCGTAAAACTATAGGGTGAAACTATAGGGAGCAACCTTAAAGCAATTAATATTTCCAAACGCATGGAAAAAATGATCCAAAATATTGAAAATCAGTAAAACATGATTATTTTACAGGAACCACGTCTGTGTGATATAGGAAAGCTTTTACTAATGTCTTAAGTTATGGTGTACGGCAAGCAGAATCTACAAATTAAAATTTAAAAACTATGTTCGTTTGATTTTGAGTAAATTGCAAAAGCATTTCAAATAACAGTTTTTGCAGAGTATTATAGTAAAATTAAGGAACCAATAGATGGACACTATTAAGACAGGTCATTGCTTCAAATAATATCAAAATGCATCTTGAAGCTATAAAAGGCATGAAGATTTTATTGGTTTCCTTTTTTCACAATCTTGAGACCAATACTTTTCTTAATATACTCCCATTATAAGTAATAGTTAATTGTTAATTTTATTGCAGATTTCCCAGATGGAGGTATTAACCATGTGGAAATGCTTTTTCGTTGTAATTATCTAGCACTTGTGGGAGGTGGCCAACATCCCAAGTATCCTAGGAATAAAGGTACAAGTAACTTCCAGTCAGTCAGATAATGGAAGGATGATCATTAATCATTAAGTTAGAGGCTGGAATATCTATTTCAGAGGAGATATGCCTGTATATAGTTCAAAGTTTGTAAGACTGAATCCAGCAAAACCCTTTTAACAGACTGAGTTAATCCTCTGTTTGCAACTTTTTAGTTATGGTTTGGGATGACTTGAAAAAGAAATGTGTCATAGAACTGGATTTTTCAAGTGATGTGAAAGCCGTGAAACTCAGGAGGGACAGGTTTGTTGATAGGCTTTATCTTGGTAATAGTACAGAAAACATTTTGGCATTAATACAAGTACCCTTGTACATGTACACTGCATATATATGTCGTGGTTCAATTTTGACCTTGGTGCAATTTAGTATTTTCCTTTGCTGTGGTGTATGGTAAGACATTATAATGTGTATGAAACATAAGGAAAATACCAATGTGTACCAAGGGTAATAATGAGCCACGACATCTACATATATAAGGTATATTGTACATAATATCTACATACATGTGTATCATTGGTCGTTTTGTACATTTTCTTTATGTCATTTATACAGTAGGTAAAAGGTGAAGTCTGCATACAAGCCAAGTGGCCCATCAGGCCGGAGCTTATCCCGGTTTCTGTAGCATGAAGCAACTAGGAGTATTTCTACTCCCCCCT